AGAAAAAGGAACTAAGCATGGATATATCTTTCCACCGAAAGCACCTGCAAGGTTGATGAAAATAGCATTGCTTGAGCGTGTGAAATTCTGGTTAAAAGATGTTCTCAAATGATGCCTACTCAGGTCCCAAAAGAAATATATATACGCAATAAGAATTTCAGGCTCATAACTTTTGAGTTGTAGAACTCTTGTTTTCCTTAAATTTTTGGTTTCGCCTGGTTGATAAATTCGACAGTAACTTCATCAATTACTTTTCGAACCTTTGTATTGACTCTTGAGCATCCGTTTGAAATTGTAAAAGTCACCATTTTAAGCAACTAAAATTGTTTCTTTCTATTGTATGTTTATCTAGTGGTTTTTTTTTTTTTTTTTTTTTTTTTTTTATGATTGGAGATGTCCAAGTCAATTTATGCTCACCTCAACTAATCTCTTGGAATTCTAAAACTATCGGCTAGGTAAGAGCTTCAGTAGTCATTCTTATTAAGAACCAAGATGAATCAAACTCAATACCTATTGAATAAACACCCAAGAATCCTAGCTGATCACTCAACCACCCAGTGGTGGTTATCTAGTGGTTTGTTTCATTTATCTCTTATGGATATCTTTTTCTATCCCTATTCAAAATGATGAAAAAAAATATCCTAGAAATAGGTTATTTGCTTTCATCCTTAAGGTTTCAAGTATATTACCGACCTCTAGTATTATGTGATATAAACAATTTAGTCAAATTGGGTAAAATTTTCAATAAAAAGTGTACAATACCCCCATTGTCTTATACACATGATATTAAAAATTAATAAAATAAAAAAAAGATACGATAGATATGACAGAAAAAGTCATTTTTTATTAAGAGTATTGATTATATATATAATAGGGACAACTTTTAGCACATTACTTTTTTTTTTTTATATATGTATATTTTCTTTATTTCTAATAGAATTAAATAATACAATAAGGGTAATCTAGAATTTTTATTGAAAAGTCTTACTGACTGAAATAAATTGTCATACCCTATAGTATTAGAGTGAGCGTGTAAATAACCCCTTTGAAATTATATTTGAACAATTGTTTTAATGAGATGGGTTCATATATGTTGGGTTTCAAAATCAGTCTTACTCCAGAGGGCCCAATCATTTCATTGCCAACCCGGTTGTACATACTAAAAGGGACAGGCTTAGTCACTAGTTTGTTTCTGTCATCCAAATTTTACTCTGAAATTATCACTGCAATATCAAAATTGTATTACCTCTTGGGTTTTATGATAACAAAATAGCCAAAAGTAGATCAATTATGAAGAAATTTCGCCTCGATTGGACCATGGCGTTTTGCGTGATAAGATGCTGCCCTCTGATAAGATTTTGGGCTTGGGTTTTAGTATTAAGTACATCAACTTCTAGCAACACTCCCAACTTTCAGTTTGCAGTTAAGCCCGATAAGTCAAAACCATGACTGACCTGTATAGATATGGGCCTTTCATTGAAGTGACCTAAATCAGTGGCTGTTAGATGTTGTCTGGGGTTTCTGGGCTTCTGTCATGGGCTGGATGATTCTTCTTAAAATGTGTTGGGGAGAATCGGTGGGGCTGATGCAGTTGTTTCGTGTAATTAAAATTTTTATGTACAAATTTGTGGTATACACAGGCTAGTTATAGTGTATATTTTTTGATGGATTTTGGAAGAAAAGAGGGGATTTGGTATTGGTTCATGAATCATGGACTAAAGTGGGGTGATGTTAGTGTCCGGGACATGCAAAAGGGGTATTGCTTTGCAATGCATTTTGTTGTTTCTCACTGCTAATTTATACGCAGGTACTCTTGGAGAGAAGCAAAATATTTTCGACATGTTCCCACTCAAGGTTTAGCGAAATCCAAGATTAGTACCCCTAGTTTCATAAATTCCAAATTCTCACCCTTAAATTAACATTTTTCATTTCTTTTAACAATTAAAGGCTAAAACAGTCTTTTACTATATTTTAAATTTCTAAAAAAAAAATTCTCCCAACGTTGTGTCTCTAGCCGACGTCGACCCTAGTCCTTGGCGTCATCTTCGGTGTCAAATCGCAACTCCCTTGCTCCAGTTCACCTCCTCGTCATTCTAGGTCTGTTCACGTCATAACTAACCCTCTTCCTCGCTCTATATTTAACAAACAACTTGATGGGCATTTGGGCAAAGATTGATTGGGTTTTTGTTTGGGGCAATTTAATAAACAGCTGGCAGGCAAAGTGGAGTGAGGGGAGAAAAGACTTATGGTGGTGGTTGGGAAAACAAATTACAACTCAACATCAAAGCCAATCAAACAAACAATTAACACACTTCCAAATCAATCAAAACCAACACCAATTAACAACAAATCGACCTTCAATTTTACCCAAAAATCAACAAAATCGGGAAACCCTAAGTGAGGTGGTGGCCGGCGAATGGTGAGCTACCATGGTCGGGGATGATAAGGGTTTTGGTGGGGGTTGGCCGGTGAACACAATGGTGTCTCAGGGAAGGTTTTTGATGACGGAATCAATCGGAAAAAGGGAATGTTCGTGTGACACAAATGGGAGGGTGGCAGTTGACCATGGTGGGTTTCAAAGGTTGAGAAGGTTGGGAGTTTTGTTTTGGAGACCAAGGGATTGAAGATGGTAGGGTCGAGTGGTACAAACGATGCCAGAAGTTAGGCTGATTTGGCCTAAGATCGGTAGTCGTGCAATGAGGAAATGAGTGCTAGAAAACGGAGGAAGCCAGTCAGATTTTCGGTTAAATAGGGCGGGGGAAGGTGCAAGAAAAGTTGGGGAAGAGTTCCCATCGTGATTGGTGAAGAAAACTGATTAGGAGGCAACCAAAAGGTCGACGACAATGAAGATGAGAAGGGGACATGAAGAAGAAGGTCTGAGGGCAATTTGGTAAAAGCCCTTCTACTTAAATGTCACAACCCATCTATCATTAATGACGTCCATTTAAAGGTGGAAATCTGAAATTTATTAAATTGAGGATACTAACCTTGGATTTCGCTAAATCTTGGGTGGGAACATGTCATTTACTTAATAGTCAAGAAGGTTTATTAACTTCCTTGAGTTTTTGGGTTCAAAGTTCAAACTTTGGGACCATTTACCACAATAACATTCTGATTTACTTGGTCTTTGGGCTTGTAGAGTGTTTAATGGATCCCGATAATTAGTTGAGATGCTAGAAGTTACTTGGACAGCCCAGTTACCAAAAAAAAAAAAAAAAAAAAATTCAGCATACTTTAACAGACTAGAGAGCGTTACTGTTAAAGTTTTCCTTGATTTTGGAAATAGTATTACTTGTAGTAAGAGGTTTATGGTTAGGACTGATAGAAGAGTTTTTTGGGATTATACTATTCCATTTTAATGTTTAGTCTGATGATTGAGGCAAGTATGTCTTTGTTGGAGAATACCCCCGAGCAAAAGAATGATTGTGATTGCAGAAAGGAAGAAAGGATTTTGACGACTAATGATTCCCCAACAGCTAGCAACATCGTCTATGGTGTTCTTGAAGCCAAAAAAGTAGTTACGAAATTAAGATGGAGAAGGCAGTTTGGGATCTTTGGGAGTAGTAGATAGACTCAGCGTATTATCTGCTATAATCCTTTTAACATGTCAATTATGTGGAGTAGATACATAAATTATCCACGCTACCAGGTTCATCTTATTTCTCGCTGGTTGGGACTATTGTTGTTGATGCGTGATTTTGACACCAACAACTCGCATGTGTAAAGTGTTAAGTTGTTCTTAGAAATTACATGTAATGTGATTGATTCAAGAGTCAAGACAAGGTTAATCAATATTATTGAATGCAAAGACTGAACAATAAATGAGAAAGATGATTTTTAAAATAGTTTAGATGCTTAAAGCGATTCCTATGTCCACTGTTTCTTTTATACATGAGAATTTACAAGAGGTCGTGTCTAACGAACAATGAACAAATGTATAACTGATTATTCAAAGAGAATATCAAGTCAATCTCTTTCTTATATGTTATATTTACTTTGAAAATAAAGATTACAATTAAAATTAGAATCAAGATCAGGATCCCAAAAATGAGAGGGGGAGTCCTCTACTTATAGTAGTTGAATTCAAGATAATTATTATAAATCTGCAAGTGAGTATGTGTCGTGTAAGTCCTTCCTTACCTCCCATTGGCTGATAACTTAGGAAATATTCTCAAATTATCTAGGGCTTGGATAGGTGTGCAGTCTTTTTTCACTTATATACAAAACCTAAATCTGTTGGGTTGATGACAATCATATTCTTTCTATCTTGAGGTGATGTGATAGCTCCTATACAGCGTAAAGTCTTCTTAAACTCTGATTGGTATTGACTGATGTAAATTTATGTCAGTCCTAATTTTTGTAAGCATAACAATTAGTATAGGAAATTCCCTCATGAATGTAAAGTATGCAGTTGGAGTTAATTTTGTATAACTTCTTGCTGTCCCAAAGTGTACCTTGGTGATATGTTATTTGTTTTTGACAAGGCTCATTTTCTAGGGCCCAGTTTTAGGCTCCTTTTGAATCCTTGATTTGTTGTCCCTCAGGCTGGTTGCCTGTGCTGCACCTGGTCTGGTTATTTTTGTCCCTGGGCCTGCCCAAGGATTTGAGATGCAAAGGGGAATCCCGTACATTTTTTATTCTTTATAAAATTATCTTTCCAAAAAAAAAATCTGGGCCGGGGTCAATTTGGATGACACATAAGCCAAATTAAGTACAGCTTAAATTGCCAACTTTTCAATCTTCCTCCCTAATCATGTAAGGAAAAAATATAAAAGTACGATCAAAATAATTTAGCAAAATACAAGGATGATGAAAAGAATTTGGCAATAACTTTATTTGCAAATATTTCGATGTTATTATATTTTGACTACCATTTAACACAAGATTTGTTTTGTGATTGCACTTTATGCCTTGATACTGTGTTGATTAAGTTACCGTTAATAACACAAGATCATTAAAGTATTGTGTTGTCTGGGAATAGGCCAGAACTCACAAGCCTGTTCCTATATTCTTCCAAATAAATAGAATTCTTTATGTATCTTATTAACAACGCCAATTAAGAGTTGACAAATAAACTTTGTTTCAATTTTGGCATTGGTAATAGCATCATCTCGGCTCTAAAATTTTGCCGTTCTCTGTATCGTTTACAAAGAAGATATGTATATCGCTGTACAAGATCCTTGCCAAGCATAAGGGCTATAGGCTAATCAGATAGTTGAACGAAAATTACTGGTTCGATTTAAAAGTCCATTCTAACCACTAGCATTTTCATCAGAATCAAATTCTAAAATTTGTCGGTCTATTTACTGAACATAAGAGCTCTCCCTTCTTCATGATTTAAAGATTTAAAACAATCCAAGTTTGGCAAACTTTCAGGATAAAAGAGTTTGCGGAGGTGGTTGTATTTATCCACATCAAAGTTGTGGACCTTCATGAGTTTGTCTTGCTTAGCCTTGAATCGTCGGTGAAAGAAGCCTTCAAAAGTAGGTTCTGTCGAGGTTCTCAGGAAGAAACCATAGGCAATCGCAAAGTGAAGCGATGTGACAAAGAAGCATATGGGCTCCATAACATCCCAACTTAGTTCCCAGAAGGTGAGTCTCATGAACCCAAGTGTTTGGACCACCAAAAAGCCCAACCCACAATACAGTTCTCCTCGAACAAGGGCTTTAGCTTTCTGGTCAATTATGGCCTTTTGCTTTTCCATCTGCTCCAGTTGTTCTCTCCTCCGGTCATTTGGGGTTGCTACAGATTCCGAAATTAATGTCTCCATTGATTTTGCCACCTGTGGTCATTACATAACATTCAAAACATTAATTTCTACTGAATCAGCCGATAATCAAGTTTCATGATAGGAAGACAAAGTCCAAATTGTCTAGAAGAAGCTTTGAAAGTTTTAAGATATTTTTTGGCACTGAGTGAGAGACGCAACTCTGTCTGAAACCGTTTAAGAATAAAAAAAACTGTTTGTGACGCCTTTCAATACTAAAAATAAGTAAAAAGGTGAAAGGAAAAATTTAATACCTGCTCCGGTCGGAGATAAACTATGTTTCCTAAAACGATGACGGTCCCAGACTCATCCAACAGCTTAGCAAACTCAGTCCCTTGGTCTTCATTCTCACAAAAATCAACACAGATCCGTACAAACTCATGGTGCGAAATCGAACTCTTCTGAATTTCTCTCAGCTTCAGTTTTAGCTTTTCCACTTGAGACAGCCGCAACAGCTTCCTCGCGTCACGAACCGTGAAGCCGTACGGAACATCCGTCGCCGGTGTGTCGGGAACATTAGGTGCGAGTCCTTCCAACCGGAGGCGATCTCCGGCAATGTTAATGCCTTTCAGTTTCTCTCTGAGCTTGTCACCGATAGGCAGGGAGAGAAACTCGGGGATTCTGGTGGCCGACTGGTTAATTCCTCTCCGCTGGAGAAATTTACGGAAAAAGCCTTTCCCCGATAATTCCGGAGACGTTATGTACTCACGGTGGAAGTTTGTTTGAAGGGCATTTGGGGGAACAAGACTGTGGGCGTGAGTTGAAGGTGAGTGTTCTAGAGTTACTGCCGGTGAGGAGAGTCTATAGCCGTAACTCTTAGTAATCAGACGCTTGACGAGGGCTTTATGAAGCTCCATTGAATATTGAGAGAAAGAGGAAGGAGCTAAGGGGGGAGGTCCGACGATCAAGGGCTTAAAAGTTTGATAAGAGGAGGTGGGGGTGGTGATGGTATATATATATAGGGTCCAAGGATGAAGGAGAATCTTGAGTTTTTCAGAATCTCAGGGTTAAAATCGCGATATCTCTTATTAATTACAAGCAGTGAGAAGAAGGTAAACACCGTGTAGATTCTAATGACTAAACTGGAAGATACCTTTTTTAATATAACGCAGTATTTTTGTTTAAATACACTTTTAAAATTAAAAATTATCGCCACGTGGGTACGTATGTTTTGATGGTGTTAGTCACGGCGTCAACATTCGCATAGTAATAGGGGTTTTTTGGGGTTTTTTGGGTGTTGGAAAATAACATCTCCATATGTCAATTGTCCGATGTGTTTCAGGAGACGAAATTACTCCTAATAAGTTACTTTTCCTATTTGGAGGCTGCGTTGCGGAAAGAGGGAAGTAACATTACCATATGTCAATTGTTTGATATGTTTACGTTTTTCTTATTTCCATCAATACACACAAAATAATAATAATCAGGAGATTTGTATAGCTAATTCTTTAATAGACAATTTATCTCTGTAAAAATTAAAGATTAATGAATAATATTATGCCTGAAAAGGCAGGACTGACGTGAAGTCTTGTCAGCATAAGATGGTCAGAACGTGAGAAGGTTTTGCAACCGTTCAAGCGCAACCATGTCATGTAATGGCGCAACCGTTCAGACGCAGCCACATCATGTAATGGCGTAAGTGGCACGCCCTTGTTAGTGCAGTGGATGAATACAAGTTAGCAGATGGTTGGAAATCGTTCATGTGTCCAAACTCTGCATAAGTAGAGGAAATCACTCGGGCAGGTGAGCAATGAGACACAGGGAAAGATTTGCACGGTATCCACTAACTTGCAGATTTAGTAATCATTACCTTGGTTTATCCCAATATAAATATGGGTCTTCCCTTCTGTTTGCGGGATTGGCTAATTTTATCTCTCCCTCTCCCTCTTGTATTATCTCTATACAGTAGCTCAACTTATTAAACGCAACCTAGCCTTTACTCTCTTATTAATACAATAGCAGTGGAAGTATGATTCGCTTTTGAGCATCCGAACCACTTTAAACATTGTCTTTTATTCTTTATTTAACTAAATATTCACATATCACGTGTGACGTCTAAGTTCGCTTAACATTTCACACATGCAAGTAATTGGTATAAAAAAACAAGCATCAACACAGACAAGTTGAAAAGTTTAAAAAGGTTGACATGGTCATTTGAGCGTAAGTAATAAGTAATCAATTTATCCCACGAGAAGATGAAAAATAAATTGAGATGGGGAGAGGAGAAATAAATGATGAAGGGGTATCTGCCAGATTTAGAGGACAGTAATAATTAACGTTACAGTATGCATAACTGGACAGGTTTATATGGTCAGCCTTTAATTTAGTAACGTTCGTGCAGAGTCAGTTCAGAGCATCGTCACCAAGCCTTGTTCACAACAACTTGCTCACTACATGTCGCTCAGTAGGCCTTTATCCTTTGCATGTTTGCCTTGTCAACACTCTTTACATGCTTGCCATTTGCCTTTGCATTGGCATTATAGGGACTAGGGAGAAGTCTTCGTCTTTACATTTACAAGGAGCAAGCAATAATAGCTAATTAATTAGCCTGTCTCCAGTCTGCATTAGAGTTAATTAAGTTGTCAAATCGCTATTTTTAAATCATGTATAATATATCATAGTGTAGGATACACCTTTTTAAAGCAATTTAATCTGTATACTAGTAATTTGAAAAAAAAGGTGTATCCTAAACAGTTTTAGCTTTTCCACTTGACCAATTACCCACAACTAGCAATTTAACCTGTATACTTAATCCAAATCCAATTATCTTTCAAAGTTTCAAACTACTATATATGGTTGCGTGAATACTAATTAATTCCAAATTTTTTGAATCATGTATAACATATTATATCGTAGAATATACTTTTTTAAAGCAATTTAATCTATATACTAGCAATTTGAAAAATAAAGGCATATCCTAAACAGTTTTAGCTTTTCCACTTGACCAATTACCCACAACTAGCAATTTAATCTGTATACTTAATCCAAATCCAATCATCTTTCAAAGTTTCAAACTACTATATATGGTTGCGTGAATACTGATTAACTCTACAGTTCTTCACGGAAGTCTCTAGTTACTAGTTCATCACTACCAAACTTTTTGTTTTTATTATTATTTTAAGGCTACGGAATATTACTGATTAAAACGTTGTCGTATAGCATCAGAAATGCTAATTACTTAATAATGGGTAAGTTAATCTACTGATTGTGATTGATTATAACCTTATTTGTGACAGTTAGTGTTAAATAAGGTAAAGGTGAAACCATTATCAGTATTTTCCACGCGAGTGGGCCATCAATAAAATCTTTGGATATTAATTAGAAAAAAGTAATTATAATTATAATATTTATTAAGCTGCATAAAGAAATAACTTATTTTCAGAATTCTTTAGAAAAGGATATTAGTGATGTCAGATAAATATTTGAGATTCTTGGTTCAAGTGTGATAAAATATTCCTAGCTCTACGAGATGGGTAGAGACTAAGTTATATTCAGACTCATGAACCAAATCCATTCAAGAACATGAATACTTTTTTAGAATTAAAGAATCCCAACAAATTGGGAATGTGGGAATCAAATTGAAATTCGTAAGAGGAATTATTGAGACACTAGTGCAACTCTACCTACTGCCTCCACATTTTCTCTTTGCATACTGTACATATATGTATATGTTTCTCGTGGGTTGTTATATTAAAATACATGAAAAAACTGTGTTATATAGTCACATTTAATCATACATTTTTCTACTATGTGTTAGAATTAAACTTATTCAAAAAAAAAAAAAAAAATTAACAGTAGATTTTAAGCCCATTCAATCTTTTCACAGAATCTTATTATAATATAAGGAAACATTGCGAAGAAAATAATAATTTCAGAAATAAGAAGGATTCGTAAGAAGCAAGTGGAAATCTAGTAACATGCGACTCCATGGCAAATTCAACCGCCCACACGTAGAAGCATTACGTGGGTTGCCTAGGTGCCCTACACTACACAAAGAATCCCACGCTGATGCTAGAATTGTTGGAAGATGTCATGCGTGAAAAGGTAGGGTTGACGTGAAGTCTTGTCAGTATGGGATGGTCAGAATTTGGGAAAGTTTTGCGACCGTTTAGACGCAGCCACATCGCATAATGACGTAAGTGGCACACTCCTATCAGTGCAGTGGGTGAGTGCCAGGTTAGCAGATGGTTAGAAATCGTCCACGTGTCCAAACTCTACATAAGTCGAGGAAATCGCGCGAGTAGGTGAGCAATGGGATGCAGAGAAGGATTTGCACGGTATCTACCTACTTGCAGATTTAGTAATCATTACCTTGGTTCAGTCCATTATAAATAGAGGTCTTCCCTCTCATTTGCAGGATTGGCTAATTTTTCGCTAAAATAGTTTATTCTCTCTCTCTCTCTCTCTCTCTCTCTCTCTCTTTTATATTCTCTTTAAACTGTAACTTAGCTCGCTGAACGTGACCTGACCTTATTCTCATTAATACAATATCAGTGGACGTAAGATTCGCTTTTGAGCATCCGAACCACTTTATACATTGTCTTTCACCCTTTATTTAACTAAATATTCACATATCGCGTGTGACTTCTAAGTCCGCTTAGCATTTCTCACGTACGAGTAGTTAATGTCAACTGAAGAATTAGTGTGCAAACACCAGCACCACTGCTAACCTCCCAAAGTTAGGGGCTGATTGGTTAGTGGGAATCCACCATGGCACTGCACCATATCCATTACAAGCCACACACATTAGTAATTGATGGTGATGGTGATGGTATATTTAATCTTGGAACACATATTTTTTCTTGCAAACTATTAACAAAAATATTTCTTAAAATTTTAGTAAATAATGTTGCTACGTAAGCCCACTGAATTATAGACTTTTAAAAGGCATGAAACCTGACCTTATATATTACTAGTTGGTGATGGCATTTAGGTGACAAAAACTAGCTTTCTTCCGACGAGGTCCACTTAAATTAGCCACTACACATTTGAATTTTGAAATCAAGAGCTTCTCCAATTGCTTAATGTTATGCCAGATATGAATTGCACCAATCCCTTTTAGCTTTCGCTTTCTTCATTATATATATAATAACGTAAGCTTCCATATCTTCTTTTTTCATTTAATCAAATATATATTAGAGTTATATATATGTAAATATATGCCATTTAATTTATTGATCATGGAAAATGATTAGGCGAGATGACTTCCTAGTAATGATAATGAAAGCAGAAGCTAGATTTTCTCTTTGGTACCTCCGGACACATGTTTCTCAAGATGACTTCAGCTATAGAATACCTTCCAATAATTAAGTGAAACCTATCTGGGGATTATGCAATCTTAAGCATATAGATCATAGAACTTAAGAAACTTAAAAAAAAATAAAAATAAAAAAAAATAAAAAAAAAAAAATTGAGAATACTGTAGTAGATGATGCCTCTAAACCCGGCTCACGTTCCCTATTGGTGGGTGAACAATCTAACACTTGGTGAATTCTGCTTCGCAATGATAGGAAGAGCCGACATCGAAGGATAAAAAAGCAACGTTGTTATGAACGCTTGGCTGCCACAAGCCAGTTATCCTTGTGGTAACTTTTCAACACCTTTAGCTTCAAATTCCAAAGGTCTACGGATCGATAGGCCATGCTTTCTCTGTACGTATTCGTACTGAAAATCAGAATCAAACGAGCTTTTACTCTTTTGTTCCACACGAGATTTTTATTCTCGTTGAGCTCATCTTAAGATACCTGCGTTATCTTTTAACAAATGTGCTGCCCTAGCCAAACTCCCCACCTTGACAATGTCTTTCGCCTGGATCGACCAGCTAAGATAGGCCTTCAGTCCAAAAAGAGGGGCAGTGCCCCGCCTCCGATTAACGGAATAAGTAAAATAACGTTAAAAATAGTAGTATTTCACTTTCGCCTTTCGACTCT